CTCTCGTAGCATAAGCGCAAGGATATCGCTAGGAGCATTTCCTGCCTCTGAGAGCTCAACGACCTGGTTAACCCGCGATGGAGATAGCTTCCGATGTACCCGATGGCCACGAGAAGAAAGGAGGGCGTGGTTATGACGAGAATCTTTGACTCTAAGGATCCAGGCTTCGAGAGATTTATCCAGGCGGACGATGACCTCCCATTCACAGTTATCGCGTAATGATCTCGTCTCCCGAGCTCTTCCTTTACATTCATACCGGCCGTGGCGGTCACAAGTGATCCAGTACTTCGTTTTCTCTGTCCTATTACCTTGGTTGTCTTTCTTTGAACGATTAACCCGAATACTAAAGTTATGTTGCTTTGAAAAGGTAAGAATATCTTCCTACGCCTGTTGAAATGTAGGCCATCCGACTGGCGGTTGATGAGGAATAAGATGAGCTGGTTCCTCTGCCTGTAGAAGAGTAGCCTCATCCTGTCTTGGTAGACCACTAGTATCGCTAATAATCTCATCGATAGGAATATAGCTACTTCTCGACTGAAATGAACGATTCGTATCGGTATCGCTTGAAAGGATATCTGACTCAGACGAGGAAATCGTGACGTGGCGATAGGTCCGCATAATTCTTTGCCTTCTGTTCGTTGGCGGATTTTCTTGCGCATTGATACTATCCTGAAGTCTCTGATTCTCCAAATGTTGCTTCGCTTCATGGTGGAGGGAGGCACGGTTAAAGGATGCGTAAGGTCCGTAGTCCTGTTGTAATGAAGTCGACCAGAAGGACTTTAGAGATTGAAGCTCCTTAATCGGGACTTGCTTCTGTCGGCCTGCCAGAACCTGTTCTCGGAGCGCTGTAGTGGCCTCGGAGCATAAGCCAGGCGGAGAAAAAGGTCTTTCTAGCCACTCTTCTAAGCTAGAACGCGAATATAGGGTATCCTGTAGCAGGATCTCGTTCTGATTATGCTGAGAGTTATCGGAGAGGTCGCGCTCGCGGAGTCGAGAGAATGCTCCAGATATTGCATTGTAAAAGACATTCTCAAGACCGTTCTGAAGCGGTTTAAGAGCTTTGCGTATCTCCTCATCTACCGAGCTCGATTGCATATCCTGGAAACTGGAATTGATGTCTCAAATACGTCCTCGTCCTCGTTCTCGTCCTCGTTGTTGATAAGTTGATACATCTCTTAATGTCAAGGGCCCAAACCACGAAGGATTTGGTAAGCTGGTAACGCTGTTGAATTGCTAAAGAGAGAAGGAGAAGATCTCTCTCACTGCGATCTGCTATTTACATCTGTGGGCAAACGGTCTACCCATCCCTTCTGCCTTAGGCCGCAAGGCCACAACACACAGACTGGGCAAAGCCCAAGACTGTCACAAAAGGTCTCTCCTCCCTTTTAAGGAGGCCGTCTATCTCCTGCCCTTAACGCTTCGGAAGCAATGTTTCGGCCCGTCTGAGCTTCGTAGTCATCTAATGCGACAGTATCTTAAACCATTGCAATATCCTCCCACGTCGGGTCTGCGTAGCCGGTCCATTGGCACAGGCATTAGCGCTTCAGAGGTCCTCCTCGGCCGCGGCCTCGAACGACTCGGTCCGCCAGGATCTTTTCGAGCTCCCACTCTTTTTCGCCATCTACCAGTATTGGGTCTGGTTGAACATCGTCTTGAACTTGAGTCGGGAAGGGATCATCTGACGTAGGGCGGAGAAGCGACTCGTGGAAAACGTTATGACGTTCCCCTGG